CCATGCAAAATGGTTGGTTTCAGTTCCATCCTAAATTATTACACAGAAACAGCTGCTGGTGGAGATAAGTATGTTTTCTGGACAGATAATTATTGTTTATTATATATATATATCAGTTAACAAATTCTTTAAGTATGATTAAATAATTTTCAAAGTTTAAATTTCGCATATCAGAAAGTTTCAAATTATTAAATGAAACTTTAGTTAATCCCTATTCATTTTGGAATAATTATGTAAAAAATACAAAATATGTCTAATGTTGTTTAATCGAGAATAGTTTGTAAGAATCTGTACTAAAAATTTATGAAAATTTTTAAATAAAATAAAAAATAAATATACGAAAATGCAAGAAAATTCGAGAGAGAGAGTAGAGTCGATGGATTTGAAAGAAACATAATAATATTTTTTATATTTTAGATACTTCAGTTAAATGAGTTGAATGTAAATTTTTTACACGATCTATTAAAATCTCTTAAACCTAATATATGTAGTTATGTACATGTGCTCTTATACACGGCTAGAGAAACTCAAACAATCTAATATTTTTAATATAATTGATCTAATTCTTTATTGTTTGAAGAATTAGATTATTTCAATTGACGTTTTTGACTGAAAAATAAATACGAGATAACTATAATTTCAAATAACCATAGTAAGAAGAATTGAATTTTCTCTTTTCAATTTTTTTTTATATTAAAAGATAATAAAATATTTAACTGTATATGATCACACCACTTCTTTCACACACTGGAATTATATTCATGACAAAATTTTTATCCCTAAGGATTAAAAAAAGAATTAGATTATTTAATTATGGAACATATGAAAATTAATTTGAGACTTTATCCAAATTAAGAAAATTACATTAATTAATGCCAGCACTTTTCAGTATTACAAACAAAATTACATTAATTAGTAAGGTCTCCGAAGAAGAGAACCTCTCATGCAAATATATCTACGTGCTAATTAAACAAACCCTAGCCAAAAACATACACACATTTATTCTAGAAAAAGCATAATTATCGTGCCCATCGAACAACTTCAAGGAAAAGGTAAACTCCCACCACCGGGTCCACCGGCGCCACCACCCGGAAGACCCCCCAACCCACCGATGCCACCGACCCCACCAACTCCGCCAGCAACACCACCGCCGAGGCCACCAATGCCGCCTATTCCACCTGCTCCTCCAATCCCACCAAATTTCCCAATCCCACCAAGACCACCCAGTAAAGGAATCCCACCAGCCACTCCGGCATACCCTCCAACGCCGGCGAAACCGCCAACTCCTCCGTAGATGAAATTCTTTTCGTCGTCCAGACCAGTAGGTGACTCCGCCTTTGGTGCATCTGCATGCAAAACTGTTTCCTCTGGTCCACTTGCTTGATCAGATGGTTGTTCGTTGACACGATAAGCGACATCACTCGGTAAGTTACGAGCAGCTGCGTGCAGAAATGATAATACAAGAGCTGAAGTGATGATCGCGTACCACCTTGCCATTTCTCCTTCTGATATCTCACACTTGCGACTTCGAAGATGATGATGGCGATGATGGTGATGGTGTTAGGGTACAAGTGGGTAGGGTTTATATAGGAGATTTACAAGGTGGGTGACAGTTGAGGGAAATTAAGGGTAAGAGTAAATGAAGAATGAGTGATTGCCCTCAAAATCTCGAGAAGGGAAATTCTTCGAATTTGGCATCATAAAGGTAGGTGAGTCGAATTAAAGAGGAGAAATTTAATAAGGGTCTGTCATTCATATGAACTGCCAGGTGATTTTCTGTGTTAGTTTTGAGTTTGACTAGTGTACCGCACTTTTATCAAACATATATATATATATAACAAATTAATTTCCAGTGTGGTCACCGCTAGGGGACAAAATTTTAATGATAATTTCTCTATGATATTCGGAGAGGACATTTTAATTCATAAATATTCATGAGTTAGCCATTTATTTTAAATATATATACACCTTTTGGCCAGAAATATTGATATCTTGCTCCAGTATCCGGTGTCAGCTTGCATGGCTCAACCAACCAATATAGAAACATGCAATGTGTATGAATTAAATATTTTAAAATTTTATTATTTCCTAAAACAAACCCTAAATGGGTTTTCTTTATCCTCAAAACACATTCATAATCCACACCAGATTCGGCTAATGGCCAGACGGGAGGAAAAAAGGAAACTAGTTGTGGGGAAGATGATGAGAGGGAAGAGAGGTGGTGGTCATGAAGAGGAGGGTTTCTTTTGGTACAATCTCTTCTTTTCATTCAAGAAAACAAAGCATACTGTTCAAGACTCGAGCCAATAATTATTTACATAAAAATTAAGGAGAAAATAGGATTTGATGTAATTGTTTATTCAATATTTCAGTTTATCTCAATTATTATTTTAACAATTCATTTTTTTTTTCAAATTTAAGAACAATCAATTTGATTTTATAAAATTATTTTTAGACAATCAAGTTGATAATTAATATTATTGATGTTCTTGTTAACCTCGTATATTTCCCCTCTCTAACTACCTATTTAAATTAATATATATATATATATATATATATATATATATATATATATATATAACTATAGGTTAGAAGTCAGACTGACATAGTAACTCCACACTAGAACCAATTAAGATTTAGTAATACAAGTATGAATACATCCTTAACTCGAGGTCAAATCAGAAATAGCATCACCTGCAAGAACCCACATGATCTGCCCTACATGAATTCGATCCAAGTTAGTTCTATACTTATTTTTCATCTTCCAAATACACAACTCACTGGCCGCTTCCATGCCTCCAGCAATCCATCTCCAACGGCCAATCTTCTCTGCTTGATTTGTTACTTCTTAGATACACCTTCAGCGCCAGTGAAAAACTTCATTCTTCATTCGCCGTCGGTCCAGTCTTCCGCTTTTGGCCACGCAGCCGCACCAGCAGCTCCACCAATACCCAATAGCTTCACTTCATTGATCGACTCCCACAAGGTAAGGTAAGAGGATTTCCAGCATCACCATCATCATCACACAACCTCCACTTGATCCTTTTCTTTCGACTTCGACTGTTCTACATCAACGCACCAAATCCCTCAAAGTGTATTCCTCTATTTCACCTTACATAGCTGAAAGGGAAGAAGAAAAAACCGCTGCCCAAACGTCGTCGTTTCGGCCATCTCCTTTTTGGGCTTTTGAACTGGGCCTTACTATGGGTTTAGAAGAGAGGTTAGCTCGGCTTGTCTTCAGCCTGAGTTTTGGGATTTTGGACTTTTATATTTTTCATTTGATCTCTCTCTCTCTCTCTCTCTCTCTCTCTCTATATATATATAATATAATTGGAAAATAAAATGGAACACATATTTCAACCCGAATAAAACCCTGGTAAAAGTCGTGGTTGGACAAATGTGAAGTTTTAGATTTTGGAGAAGTCAATAATTGCCAAAGAACCGTACAAATGTTAGAGAAGTAATAAATGGTAAATTTGACTACGCCCTCTCCCTCCTATTTTTTTTTAACATGCATGCATGTATATATATTATATGAAGTCACAGCGGAAACCTGGAAAAGATAAAGGAAACCATGAATGGCGAATCTGAAACTGAGTTCAAAGCTAACCAAATTGTTTCCTATAGCAAGATCACGAGTTTTTGTCACTGCTGCCCGACCTTTACAAGTACGTCTAAATCTCTTTCCCTCAGCTATATATATATATATATATACGTGTGTGTGTGTTTCTCTGCATCGTACACTTGCATTATTAGAATTCTATAACTCTCTTTCTTTCTCTCCCTCTCTCTCTCTCTCTTTCTCTCTCAATATATATATATATATGTTGCTGAATATGTATAAACATGTGTGCTGGTACTCATGATTGATAAGAGTGATGGAAATCTTTTTTCTTCTCAGTTTGTGTATATTTATAAATATACATATATATATATAGCTAGAATTGGAAACTTTTTTATTCTTCATCTTTAATTTCTTTTCGGTTTTGCTAATTGAATATTTCTTTTGGGAATTATTTGTTGACACCTTCAATTTGGCTTCTTTTTTTTTTTTTTTTGGGCGAGAAATGGCCTCTAATTTTCGTGTGGAAATTCTTGAATAAAATATTTAAATCTTAACCAATTATTTTTCTTGCATTTATTGCATAACATTTTTGAGAATATATAAACTAATTTCTTTGGGGAGAAGAGATATGTATTTGTTTACTATATCATTAGACAAAATTAATTTTTTAATAAAAATTTATATATTTCATAAATTATGCAATATATATATACATAGATGATAATACAATTTTTTAAAAATTATATAAAAAAATATAATTTAACTTCAACTTATAATTTTTAATAAAAATAAAAAAATAATGACAGACTTAAAGAAAAGAATGGTAAGTGGGAGACCAAATACTACGTAAACAATGAGAAAAATTATTGGATCCTCCCAAACATTGACATACATCATATACGTGTATTTATGTGTGTGTATGCATATATATATATAGGGGAGAAGCAAGGAAGCAGATCAATGTCAAAATGTGAAAGAAGCAGCAGAAGATGTAAAAGAAGGAGCGAAACAAGTGAAAGAAACCACCGAGTTCATCAGAGACACCACGGCATCAACTGCTCGAAAGTGTGAGATGAGACTCAACTACTTCTTTTCTTCTCAAGTATATATATACAAATATATGTTTCTTTTCTTCTTATATATATGTATATAGTATGATGATAAATAAGTATTGAGATATATGCATATTACAAAAATGACAGAAAAAGTGAGCGAGGCAACGGAGGCCATCACGGAGAAAGCAAAGGGATCAATGACAGGTGTATTGGGAGTTAAAAAAAACTTATCAAACTGGTTTTGTGTTGTATCAAGCTAAGACACCTCTCAGCTTCAAGTTTTTCATATACAGTAAATAAGAAAGCTTACAAATTTATAGAGCAACGAGCTGCTCCTTGACGGAGTGTCGGTTGCACAAGAAGAAAACAAAACAAAACCAAACATTCTTACAGGAAATCGTAACAGAAAACCCAGCAAATCAAAGGACAAAACTGAAAGTGCAGGAGGGGACGATCACAGTCATTTCCTTTAACATTTGTCGGCCATGCATTGTTTGTCCTAAAGGTTGGTGCTGAGATGGAAGGCTGATTAGGATGGTCTTGCTGATCTCGACAATTTGGCACACTCGGCTGCTTTGTCTTGCTGTTGATCGTCGGACAGAGCAGTGTTCTTCACATTGGGCACAGCAAAGGCGGCCTCTGAGACATTAAGGACAAGATTATTGGCAAGTAGAACTAGAATTTGTTATATATATACATGTATATATTATGCTGTCTAAACTATGTATATGTAGAAATCCACAACTTCATCAATTGACAATTAATCATATTCAAATTATTTGCAATTGATTAAAGGAAAAAAATTTAATGCCTTCAAGTTATTATCTAACAAATTCATGGGCATTGACAATGAAATTTTAGAATAAATTAATTATTTTTAAACAATTCATTCACAAATAATATATTCACTACTATGGCTACAAGGTAAATTTGTTTTATTCTTATTTAATTTTTTTATTAATTTTAATTTTTTATTATGGATATACAAATATGTTTTTCTAATAAAAAATATATTTTTTTATTAATTAGATAATAAATGTACACTAATTATAAAATAATCTTTTTATGAAAGTACACAAAAATACAGAACCTTATATCACCTAGTATCAACCAATCATGTAATACCCTTAATTAATTTTAACATAATTAAAATTAATGTATACATATAATTTTTTTAATTTTTGAATTTTTTATTTAATGCAAAAATG